CTTTGCTTCTTCATGCATTTCACTAAAAGCTTCTAGCAGGGAATTGTAATTCATAGAATTGTTGGAAGAAGTTGAACTTACACTACTAGTGGGGGATTCTTGACCAACCATCAAACACAAATTTGTTTCTTCTTCTTCTTCTGAGTTTTCAGTTGATGATATATCATTATCATCCCAAGTAATGTAGGTCTCTTTTTACTCTTGTCACTTTTCTTATCTTAGTTCCTAGTCTTTTTTGGACATTCCATTCTTACATGTCCGTATTTACCACAACCATAACACTTGTAATTAAATGGATTTGATTCTAGATTCTTTGCATACCTCTTCAACACAGGTTTATCTTTACCTCTCTTCTTGAGGAATTTACTAAACTTCTTGACAAGCAGAACAAGATTTTCATTTTCTTCTTTCAGATTCTTCATCTTTATCACTCGCTTTAAGAGTTATGCATTTCCCTTTCTTCTTTGAGATTTCCTGCTCATTGAACCTGTTAATTTTCATTTCATATTCCTTAAGTTTTCCAAACAGAGAAGTTGTGGTCATGGTGGATAAGTCTTTGGATTCTGAGGTTTTCGTGATCTTGGGTTGCCAAGGCCTGTCAAGACATTTCAGTACTTTAATATTCAATTATTCTTTATCAAACACCTTACCAATACTCATCAAATGATTGAATGATGTGTGTGAATCTTTTTTGTACTTCAACAATGCTTTCTCCTTATTGCATTTTGAACAACTCATATTCTCTTATTAGGGTGTGATTTTTGGCCCTTTTGACATCAACTGTGCCTTCATGAGTTACTTCAAGAACTTCCTACATTTCTTTGGCGTACTTGCATTAAGAGACCCAGAAAAATTCATCCATATTAAGATGTTATGATATTTTTTTGCAGTAAAATCATGCTAAATTTTCTTCTTTTCATCATCATTTAATGCAGACCATTCTTTATCAGTAACTAAAGGATCTAATTTAATAACATTTCATATGTTCCTATCAATTAATTCAATAAAGATGTTCATTCTAATCTTGAAAAATTGATAATTTTTACCATAAAACAATGGATGTCTATTGATAGATGCTCATTCAGAAAAAAGATAGTTTACTTTTACCCATTAAGAAAAAAAATTAGGATTAAAAACTTGAATAATTTTCAAGACCCAGCTTTGGTGCCAATTGTTAGAAATACAGGCTGAAATCAAGAGGGAGGTAAATTGATCTAATAAAAAACTTTTCGCAACTTTTGAATACAAATTATAAATTTCTAAGATTTAAGAACCCAATCAATATTTGAACCAAATAACAGTAATCTTGAGTGAATGAAAGAAAGAGATGAAAGAAGAACAAGAATACCAAGTTTATACTTGGTTCACCAATCCACTGGATTACATCCAATTCTCAACCAAATTATAATTGAGTTCCACTAATTAAATGTCAATTGATTATAAGAACAGATTGCAGAAAATCAATCTACACAAAAAACTATAACCTAGTTCTTGAACCTATGACAACAACCACTATTCCAGTTGGTTAACCCAGTGCCCACAATTCCAAACACCGAAAATACAAAGATACAAATGAAGAATTGAGATGCTTGAAGAAACTACAACAATCAAATCAATATGCAAATGCAAAGATCCAATCACATAATGAATTTCCTCAAAATCAAGAACAAATAGCCTCAAGAAATATTTCAAAAGAATTATAATGAGTGAAGTGCATTTCTCTCTTAGAAAAGATTTCTAAAGATTACTTGAATGATTTCTCAAGTATGTGTTCTAAAAACATAGGTGAAAGTTTATTTATATAGGACTTTTCTAACTGACTGACATGAATAATCGATTCATTTGCATTTTAATCGATTAAAACAACTTAGTTTAAATGAATTTAACTAATGAAAACATTTTTTAATCGATTAAAAATGTTATGCCAATTTTTCTTGAGACGTTTTAACTGATAAAAACATGATTTAATCGATTAAAAGAGTTCTGGATATTTTTCAGAAACATTTTAACTGATAAAAACGAGGTTTAATCGATTAAAACAATTCTGGATATTTTCTAGAGGCGTTTTAACTGATAAAAGTGAGACTTGATCGATAAAAAATGTGATGTATAATGTTTAAGTATTTTTAATAGATTATTTCAAGGATATATCAATTAAAAATCCGACAGAAAGTTTTATAAAACTTCTTAAGTGAATTTAATCGATTATTTCAAGGATATATCAATTAAAAATCTGACAAAAAGTTTTTTAAAACTTCTTAAGTGAGTTTAATTTATTATTTCAAGGATATATCAATTAAAAATTTGACAGAAAATATTCTAAAGCTTCTTAGGTGAATTTAATCGATTATTTCGAAAATGTATCAACTAAAACTGCACAAAAAGTGTTCTCGAGCTGCTTAAGTGAATTTAATCGATTATTTCGAAAATATATCAATTTAAACTGCGACTGAAGAACATGTTAATCGATTAAAACTATATTTAACAGATTAAAAATACTTGAGGTACTTTACACTTTGTAAAAGAAAGAAACTCATGCTTAAGGAGGGGATAGATGCTTATAACTACATAATGTAGATGCAAACACACTAATGGACTAACACAACATCTTCTTTTGACTTCATGAATCTTTTAGCAAGTCTTTCAAGATTCTTCCTATTAATTTCTTCTTCAAAGTCATTACAAATGACCAACAAAATCATGAGAACCAAGAATTTTGCTTCTCTCCTCAGCAGTATCAAGCACAGTTAACTTTAATTCAATAATCTCAATCTAGATCTTCAGCTCCCAATACATCCCACATAAACCAAATTGGTACTATTTCTTCCTTTGATCAATCAAGTAAATTTAAGTTTATAATCCCTTGAATCTTAGATTCGGGAGCTACCGATCATGTTTCCTCTTCACTTGATAATTTTCAATCTTACGTTAAAATTAATCTAATTGTTAAGTTGCATACTGGTTAACATGTTACATCTACTCATTTTGGAGTTGTTCATTTATCTGGTTCTTGTTATTTAGTTGATGTTCTTTATATCCCTAATTTTGCTTTTAATCTCATTTCTATTTCTAAACTTGTAAAATCTCTTAATTGTATTTGACTTTTTAATCTAATTCTTGTATCATACATGATGTGACTACCAAGAAATAAATTGGTACAATTGATGTAAATGGTAGACTCTACAAACTTGTTCTCAAGCCTACTATTTTCTCATTTGTTTTATCCAACATTGTTCATCCTTAATGTAAATATTTACGTATTGATCTTTATCATTTTCGTTTAAGCCATCTTTCACATGTTCATCAATAGTCTATGAAACAATGTTATCCTTGTTTATCCAGTGACAAACCTTTTGTTTGTAACACATGTCACCACTCAAAATAAAATAACTTATCTCTTCTGTTAAGTAATTCTCATGCAGCTACACCCTTTGAACTTTTGCATATGGATATCTGGGGACCATGCTCAAAATTATCTATGTATGGACACAAATATTTTTTATCAATTGTGATTGACAACACGTTTTACATGAGTTTATTTAATGTTTTTCAAAAGTGAAACACAAACACATATCAGCAATTTTATTACTCATATAGAAAACCAATTTGAGACTCATGTTAAACTCAATCGCACAACTAATGGTGTTGAGTTTCTTATGCATCAATATTTTCTATTAAAAGACATCATCCATCAAACTACTTGCATAGAAACACCCCAGTAAAATGTAATTATTGAATGGAAACACCAACATTTGCTAAATGTTACATGAACCTTACTTTTTCAATCAAATTTACCACAAACTTTTTTGGTGTTTTGTTTTACTTCATGCAGTATATTTAATTAATTACATTGTCACCCATTTCTTGCATAATATATCCCCTTATGAAAAGCTTTATCACCATCCCTATGACCTTTCTAACCTTGGTATTTTTTATTGTCTATGTTGCAATAGTGTTGTCACTGCTAATCGCATTAAACTTGGCCCATGAGCTCATCCTTCCATTTTTATTGGCTTCAAACAGCACACCAAAAGATATCTTCTCTATGATTTTCACACCCATACTATTAGAACATCCCGACATGTTATTTTTTATGAGGATTGTTTTCCAAATTTCTCCAATCCCCCATCCACATGATAATTGTCAGATATTCATATTTTTAAACTTAGTTATGACACTTATCTTGTGTAATTATGAAGAAATTTGTGGTAAAAACTCTCAGAAACATCTAATTATTTACATTTAGAGTTTTTATGAGAAATAGTCAATCTAACGCAACCTTTGTCAAAATGCAGGTAAAAATTAGATGATTGCAACACTGGTGTAAAGTGTTGAGCGGATTTTCATCTGTTGAGCGAATATGGGGCAGATAAGACTAGTTCCAAGGCAACCAAAATCTGCTCAGTGATTCTGAAGTTGTTAAGCGGATTTGCACCAGAGAAGAAATCCTATTGAAGGGGTAAAACATCCGCTTAACGGATTGAAGCCTTCAAGGTGAAGAAACCTCATTATGCTGAGCAAACTAAGAAGCGTTGATCGGATGAAATTAAATGCTGCGAGATCCTCTGGATATAAATAGAAACACCGAAGATGAAAAGAAGAGAGGAAGTAAGAATAGAGAAAAAAGAAAGAACCAGATTTATAAGGACGTTTCTTACTTTTCTTCTGAGACATTTTTTATTGTAATGTCTATCATATGTGTAACTAATTCCTTCCTTTGGGATTTAATATAATATTTTCAAACTCTAATGTATTTTGATGATATCTTTATAATAAAAGGGTAATTCCGTCACTTTATGGGTTATGGGGTGGAGGAAAAAATTATGGGTACAGGAAGAAAGAACCGATTTTGTTTCGCATTCAAGTTGGGCCATACAGTTATAAGCCCAAGAGTGGATCACGAAGTCAGGTTCCCAGCTGAAAAGGGAAAATTAGCATCGGAGATTTGATAAAGGAAGAAGGACCTGAAACTAAATCGACAGAGAAGAAGAAGAAGAAAGATGGTGAGAGTGGCATCGTACTTCGCAATGACTCTTGGTGCTTTCGTGTTCTGGCAGTCCATGGACAAAGTCCATGTCTGGATCGCTCTCCATCAAGACGAAAAGGTTCTTCCCCTTTGCTTCTTCATCTTTCTCTCAATCCCCTCCTCCAATTTCACTCCCCGCCAAGGAAAACCCTAGATATCATCTAACAAATGATTATTATAATTATAGTTATAATTATAACTATAATTTCATACCTAACTATGTTTCATTTTATTTTAGGATTTCATTTCGGATATATATTGTATTATCGCATTCTTATAAAACGCGCATTATTTTTTCGTGTGCCAAAGTTCTTGGACTTTTGCAACTAAGTATGAATGCTGTTTGTTTTTAGGTTTTTGACTCTCTTTCTGTATCGTAATCTGTTTCAGCAAGAGAGGTTGGAGAAGGAAGCGGAGATCAGAAGGGTTAGAGAAGAATTATTGAAGCAGCAGGCCAAACAGAAGGAGTCTCTTCAGTGAACCCGAATATGTTGTAATTTTGCTGCCTTTTGCTTTGTAATTTCCTTCCAATGCAATGTCTTGTGCTCAAATAAAGTATGGTACTCCCGAGCACTTCAAATTTAATTGCGTGGATTTTTAATGCGTTCCTTTACACATATATGCACTTGTTTCATAAAATGCTAGGTGTGAGTAATTATTAGAACACTTAACTCAGGTTATGAACCATGTTTAAGCTTTTCCATGGATTGTTTCAACAAAACTTGAGCCTTTATTCTTCATTGAAAGTATGAGTTTTAAAATTCAACCAAGCATTGGATCATGTAGTGAAGTGACTGCAATAAAAGTCTTTAAACTCTCTTGTTTGTCCATCTGACCGTGGTGCATAAATCATTTGCTGCTGCTGCTGCTCCTGAATAGTCAATACGTTCTTACTTGTTCTGCTATTTCCTCATTATTTGTGGTTTATTCTGATATACAAGTATAGTTGGACAGATTGACCTGCTTAAAGATAAATTGTAGAGTGGAGAATTAGTATCAAACCCCATTAGCTGGAGCCTTTCTTTTAACCTCTTTTTCATACTTGCCTTACATGATTCTGAGCTTAAATTGATTGAGGAATTATGAAGGGGCAATACTGACTGGAATAAGAAAGTGTCGAAAATGTTTAAATGCTTAGCTGTTGTCAAGGTGTTGACATTATTGCAACCGTAGGCAAGTGCTCGGTGTAGAAGGAGAAGAGCTTCTTGTTGGTTTTTGCGGTCTAGAATAGAATACTTTATACACAATAGTGTGGTGCCACCATTGTGCTATGGAAGAACATTACGCTTCTAGTCACTACAGAGAAACGTGCATAGATAATGACGAATGCTATACCAAATAGTGGACAAATTATGATTGTTCCACATTCTCCGTGATCCATAACTAATTTTTTAGGGTTACTGTATTTCACATTCTCTTTTTCAGAATCCTTAATTTTGACAAAAGCCAAGAGCTTATGTTCATTAATCTTTGACCCTTGTGTTTTTTTTTTCACTCTTCAAGTCAGCCATATGTTTTCTGGCCGAACTCAGCACTTGGGTTTGCATTCTCCTCTCTGTTCTTGCCTGCCTCTGTTTACACTTTGCTGTCTGTTCTGTTCTGTCCTTTCTATGCCCTGTTCAGTGAACCTTGTGGTATTTTAGTACTTTTTACAGAAGTGTGCATGGTAAAAGTTGATGACTCTTAAGCTACTAGTCAGTTATGCATTACATTTATGATGATTGTGTGTAAAGCTATTGACTTTTTATTATTAATGATGAGAACTTCTTTGATTTATTTTTTCTTTTTTTAATTTTTGAGCATTGATATCAGTGTACTTTGTACAATAAATCATTTGCTTTGTATCTATTAGCTATCCTTTTATCTATGTCCCATTTATGGAATTTTTGGGATTAACTGCTCCAGGCTACTATAGGGATGGACTGCTACAAAAAAGCTTTGGAGTAGTACTCTCAACAGCTAAATTCAATCCAACACATTTATTGTTATGTGTGCTTCATGTTACAATTGATTGAACTGATTTGTTACTAGTACATAAGAACTAGTAGGGAACTATCTTCCTGTCCGTGGTATTATGTTGTCATGAGCTTAATGAGTTGTATGCTTTTCTGTTAAATTTTAAAACATGTATGCAATTAGTATTTTTTATGGATTTTTCCTATTGGATGGAGTCACGTATTTGTCATGGATATTTCTAGTTTCTGTGGAACAAGTAAAAATAGGATAATAGGTTGAATTTTCTGGACATGTTATATTAGCATTTTGCCACAGAATATTGCATTCTCTTTTTTCCCTTACTAGTGATCAGGATAGAGGTGACAGTCACTCTCTACACAAAATACGTCTTTCTTAACTTTTTTGGCATTTCTCATTATTGGCTATAAATTCTCTCGTTTATCCCTTTTTTATTCATCAGTATCAATGAAGAACTAATCCGAATGTGCGAATTGTTGCACTTGCTCATTGTATTCGCGTCGAAGTTTTTGGTCTTCAAATGACATTCTGCAACTCGTAATTAATTTATTTTCAAACCAAACCAAACCAAACCATTCATCATCCATTAATATTGGAATGGGTTAAGAGTCGAGTGATTTGGCAAGACTGGATTGAATCAACGTAATTTTGAGTTAGAGTAGAAGTCAATGACATTGTGGACTCATGACCGCACGTTTGAGAGTTTGATGTCTATGTGGATGTTAGCATACATTTGTAGTTTTTTGACTGCGAAGGTTGGGTTATTATTCTGTTTCTTAAAAGAAAAAAAATATTAGTATATGAAGTTTTATAGAACACAATTTTTAATAAGGTACAGCTGTTTTTCTCTAACCTACTGTAACACCATGATTTGAGGCAGATGAGAGGAATCACATTTTTTATTATTTTAAGATTTGATGAATTGCTGATATTAAATTGATAAAGTAGAATGGTTGAGAATCCAAATATGACAAATTCTTGCTTTTAGAGTCATTTGGACTTAAAAATATCTTGAAAGGTGCAAGTGGTATGTTCTGTAGCTGATATGGAATTAATATTTAAGAAACGTCTTATCATGCGGTAAATTATTGTTTGGATCGAATTTCAAACCACCAAATATATATGAATTATTATACTCGACCATCAACAGTTTATGATCCAAACACATCTTCCTGTGACTGATATTCAAAATTGTAATATACACAATAATAATACTAAATTATACGTCAGTTGAAAATTAAATGGAACAACACTATTGCATAATTTCTCTCACGTATCCACTACAATGGTTAATCTCTATTGTTTGTTCCGTGAAAATGAATCAAGTGACCACAGATATGTATCGTTTGAATCATATTAATCCTTTTAATACTTGTCACTTTAATGCAATATGTGTGGGTAAATAATTGATTTTTACCATTTGAAACTTTTAACCATTTTTTAAATTATTTCCATCCCATTGAATTTTTTTACAGTGGTTTTGCGAAAGATACTGATAATAGAGGGAACTATTTTTTATGGTAATACCTTTTTTATGGACTTCAAATAAACACATCATTATCACACTTTAAACGCGTGAATCACAGTATGTAGCAATAGTTTCCACGCTATTTGGCTAAGATTATTGGAAGAACATCTGTCACCTAAGGAACTACATAGACTTTGCATTATAAGTTTAGTGACTATAGTCCAGTATCCGTTAGGTAAAAGTTTGAAGTCGATACACTTGTCATCGAAAATGGTTTGTAACAAACAATATAATTCTTTTTGGAAGCCATTGAATTTTAAAAAGTTTCAGAGAATGAAAGTAATCAAATTATTCATTATTAAAATAAATAATGAGTAACAGTTGAAACGTTAAGCATAGATAAGGTAGATATTGTCATCCCAATAGGATTTAAAATGATGATTCATGGTTATACAATTTTAACCATTTGATTAATATAACCTTTTTTTCATATTAATTTACATACGTGATATCTGTGTTCCCCATTTTCTTAACACACATTTATTATATGCAAGGTATCCATTGACTTGAATAAAAGAATAAAATCCTTTTCAAGTGGCCTCGAAAAGGTACTGAAAATGACCTTTTTATGTTTTAATCACCTTGATGTTTCTTCCTTGTTAGATTGTTAAATAGCTTCGAATTTATTTTTTCACCAATTAAGGTTTTATTTTCTTTGCAGAACTACCTCTGGCATTCTTTCCCATATAATGCCTAAATTGTAGTACATTTAATTTTCAATGTACAAATAATTAATTAGATATTTTTAATAAGATAAATGGTGGGTGAAGGTGATGGAAATTTGGTGGTAGTAATAATATAGATGCACAAAGAATATATTATTTATTAATTATGCTACACCAAATTGATAATGACCATAGAAAGGTGACTTAGTGTTGGGCTTTGGGGGAAACCCAAAATGATTGCTAATTATTGAATTAAAATAAAAAAAATAATAAATGAAAGAGAAAGCAACAGTGTCAGAGATTGTTGTTTGTTTAAAGCATGTTTGGGAAACGAACATAACGACGATGAAATCAATGGGACCTGCACCTTTCAGTTGAAATGGGTGTAGCAATCACCAACCATTCCCATTTGTCTATTTCCTCCTTTCACTTGGGATCAAAGTCTCTGTCACCATCATATTTACCTTCACTTCCACCTTCTTCTTCTTCGTCTTCTTCCTCCTCCTTATTGCGCTTTTCACAGCGCTCTTCACGACCATGATCCTCTGCCCCACACTCACTCTCGGATCTCTCTCGCAGATCCCCTTTCAACGCTTACCATCACCACCACCTTTTCTCTCTATCTCATGGATCCCTCTACTTGTCGTCCAGCTGTAGTAATCGATAATGGCTCCGGGTACCCTTTTTCTCTCTTTCAATATGTGGGCACCATGTTTGTTGTAATGCCCCAATGCGGTTTTCTTGGTTTTGTAACTATCATTGTTTGTAATATTGATATTCCCGATTTGGGTTTACCCTGAATTTGGAAATTATGTTTTTTTGGCAGGTATACTAAAATGGGGTTTGCTGGTAATGTCGAGCCATGTTATATTATTCCGACTGTGGTTGCCGTTAATGAGTCGTTTCTGAATCAATCGAGGGCCGCTTCTAAAGCCAATTGGGTGGCCCAGCACAATGCCGGTGTTATGGCGGATCTTGATTTCTTCATTGGGGATGAGGCAGTTTCCAAGTCTCGATCTAGTAGCACTTACAACCTGAGCTACCCAATTCAGCATGGCCAGGTTGAGAATTGGGATACCATGGAGCGCTACTGGCAGCAGTGCATATTCAACTATTTGAGGTGTGATCCGGAGGATCACTATTTTCTCTTGACCGAGAGTCCATTGACTTCGCCTGAGAGTCGCGAGTATACTGGGGAAATCATGTTTGAGACTTTTAACGTACCTGGACTTTACATTGCTGTGAATTCTGTGCTTGCTCTTGCAGCTGGTTACACCACATCTAAGGTTGGTAATTATTAGTACATGGAAGAAAAAGGGAATTAATTAAGTTGAATATAGAATTGGATGATTAATTTCGAATGCTTTACATATTTGATAATTTGATACGATATCAGCAGCAACAAGTTTGGTAGTTATCTAAACACAGAATGCACAGGATGTTTCATCAACCCCTGCAATTTGACGCTTTTAGATGCTTTCACTTGACTGACATTTGAGGAAACTGTACTGTAGAATATGAACTGTTGTGGTTGTTTTGCATTATTACTGGTACAATGATAGTTTATCAACTCCCCTCATTATGTTGAACATAAAATGTTAAGTTGTTTATGCATAATTATATCTGTAATTAATAACAGTACCATAACAGCTATGAAGAAATTTTCTTATTATATCTCTCATTTTAAGAATATTTTCCTTTTAGCCTGATCTGAAATTCTTTTTAGTGTGAGATGACAGGAGTTGTATTAGATGTTGGAGATGGGGCTGCTCATGTTGTACCTGTTGCAGACGGCTATGTTATTGGTAACAGCATCAAATCGATTCCTATTGCTGGAAAGGATGTTACTGTTTTTGTGCAGAATCTTATGCGGGTAGGAAATCCTTGTGGTATAAAATTAAAGTTTGTTGTGCTGGTATTATTCCCATATTTTAATATCTGTGAATTTCTGTAAACCTCTTGTTAAGGTCGAAGGATCTCACAAATTACCATTCAGATAGCCAGTGAAACCAATCATGTATAAATGCTAAGTATGGATGAATAAGGCGTGATGCACTTATGTAGTATTATTGTTACAATTTTAATATAGAATAAATAGAAGTGAAATTGACTTATTTCATGATTGAGCCTGAAACTTATTTGTGTTTTGTGATATAAACTTCCGTTGAGCTGATTGAGATTGTGATAACTAATACTGCATTTCCAATTGTCAATCTGCATTTTTGCTAAGCCAGGTTCATGAACTGTGTTGTGTTAACATTGCTTCATGCAGGAAAGAGGAGAGAATGTTCCACCAGAAGATTCTTTTGATGTGGCACGGAAAGTGAAGGAAATGTATTGCTACACCTGCTCTGACATTGTGAAGGTTGTCTTTAGTTCAATAGTTAGTTCTTTTGAAGAGTTTGTGCTTGCCATTGGCATATTGAGTGTCAATAATTTTCACTGCTTTAATTTTTTTTTTTTTTTTTTGTTAATCAAGGGATGTAGGTGCTGTTATCTTTTGTACTTATTAGTTTTCCTATATAACAATCGTTCAATTTCTCTCAGGAATTTAATAAGCATGACAAAGAACCAACCAAATATATCAAGCATTGGAGAGGTATTAAACCAAAGACTGGGGCACCATATTCCTGTGATATTGGCTATGAACGATTTCTTGGCCCTGAGGTTTGTTCTATGGCTTCTCTATATTTTCTCTATTATGGATACCTAACTAGTAGGCGCCTGTGCATTGGATATTGATGGAATCAACTGTTAATTTGAAAAAAATTTAGGGATTTCAACAAGATTAGGGAAAGTAGAGTTGTCAAAGCGAGCGGTTGAGTCCAATCTAGTCTAACTCTATGGGTCAAGGAAAAAAAGTTGATAGCCTAAGGAACATATATTTTAAAGTAGGCCAAAAAATTTAGCCTAACTTGGTCCTATGTTAGGTTAATGGGTCAATTTTGGTCTTAATTTTTTTTTTAAATATTAACATATGTGTACAAAATCAACTAATTAAAAAAATATTAAAATAAAAATAAAAAATAAAAATATATTTTAAAAATTTGAATTTTATTAATGAAATTAGTTTTTGTTTAAGATATAATGATTTAATATATAAATTATAAGAGAATGAATCCATTTAATTTCAAAATAAGAATTAAAAACTTACTCTTTATTATCATTATTTATTTTAGTAATTTATTAATTTAAAATAATAATTAATCTTAATCATTAGATCTTGGAATAAGTAATTATTAAAGATTTGTCCTCATATTTACTCTTAGAATAAGTGAATCTCTGTCAAATTAATTTATAATATATATATATATATATATATATATATATATATATTTTAATAAAATAATATTACTTTTAATTAAAAATTTATTATTATTCTATAAAACGAGTTGGTCCATAAGTCTATGGGCTAACCTGACCTAAGTCCATATAGGGCCATAACCTAAATAAGTCGGGGCAAAATAAGTCTGATTCAATTTAGATCACAAAATTTTTTGCCTGACCTATTCTCGGGCCTTTCAGGCTAAGCCTATTTTGACACTCCTAATGGAAAGAATAAGATTTTTTGTTTGCTGGATCCATTTCCATACCCACGATAGGTTTGATCCGATGTACAATTAGAAGTATCAAAATATGTTTGATTCAATAGTCGATTTAAACAGTATGCAAAATATGCCAACTTCTAAATTGAACCCATCCAATTTTAACTTGGTCTATTTAGGCTTGACCTACATTATTTTATTAAAACATTTATATGTATTAAAAAATAATTTGAAAAGAGATCTATTTACTCTAAGAATAAGAGTTAAAGACTTATTTTTCATTTCCACCATTCATTCTCTTATAATCTAATGATTAAGATTAATTATTATTTTAGACTATTAAATTACTAAAAAATGAATAATAAAGATGAAGAATAAGTTTCTAACTTTTATTGTTGGAGTGAATGGATCATTTTTATTATAATTAATCTATCAAATCATTACATTTAAAATAAAATTTAATTTCATTAATATAACTTAAATTTTAAAAATACACTTTTAATTGTTTATTTATTTATTTTTGGATTTTATAGAAATATGTTATGTATTTTTTAAAATTTTTAAAATGTTTAATCAGGACAAAATTGGTTTATTAGTCCATCATAAGACTATAATAAACAAAATATTATAGTTTGTTTTAAAATATAAATTAGACGGAATCATTTAAATTTTTTGGCGGACTATGCTAAATTGAGTAGAAGCTAAATTGAGTCTAACTGACCGTTTTGACATTACCCAATATGCACTACAACCACATCCTCTCCTCTTCTACCAACCTAATATTTATTCTGCTAATTACAGAAAAGTTAATTATAATTATACTAACTGTTATGAGTTATTTATTACTGAATTTGTTTGCCTATCTTTATTTCTATTATTTTCCTAATGATGGGTCTTGAATGAGATATATTTATATTTACTTGTTTTATACCTATTTTTTAGTGCGGATAAGAAGGGGTCTATATAGAAAGGGTGATATTGTGTTTTCCCTTGCCCAGAACCTTCTTTTTAGAAGGTCAGCCATTTTTTTATTCCCGTTTAGGGTTAAAAAAAAGGTCCAAGATATAGCATGGGAAGGGGCAAGGGAAACTTAAGTGCAAGCTGAGTGGTTGGCTTTTAAACCTGGGATGACTGCTCTAGTAGTCATACCTAAGAGTCTTGATAGCACTCAGCTATTTATAGCTATTTGTTCCACTGGAGTTTGTTCCCTAAACTACTGAAGAATGAACAAAAATGCAATGGTTCCTTGGTCTAATTGTTGAGCTAATCCATGGATTTAGTTTGGATCATTATATAAACAGGATCAATCAAATTAACATATTTGTTTGTTTCCCTGTTACTTTTTGCAGATTTTCTTTAATCCTGAGATAAATGGTAGTGACTTTACCACCCCTTTGCCAGTTGTAATAGACAAGTGCATTCAGTCTGCACCAATTGACACGAGGAGATCATTATACAAGGTGAATTACCTTATTGACATGCATATAAACCAGCCCCAAGAGTGCTTTTAAATTTTAGTGAGCCACATTTTATCATAAAATTAGGGATTTTCTTAGGATCAAGGTTTAGCTTAGGGCTTTTTTTGTTGTTGGGCAGATGGAATAAAATAGTTTCAAATGTTATATTAATCCACCGGCCTAGCCATGTTCTTAAAAGATTTGAATTATTTTCCTCTTTCCTCTTTCGTCTTTTTCCTTTTTTATTTCAGAATGTAGTGTTGTCTGGAGGTTCAACCATGTTCAAGGATTTTCACAAGAGGTTGCAACGTGATCTAAGAAAAATTGTGGATACTCGTGTCCTTTTATCTGAAGCACGCTTAAATGGGGAGATAAAAGTAAGAGTTAATACTTACCTTAAACCATATCTCTAAATTGATGATTATCTTCCTTTCACACAAAGATGAGAAATTGTTTAATATAAACCTTTCTTGCACTAGTTGTATGGACTAAACCAATCAACAACCACTACATCATTAGGTTGTATTAAGGTACTAAATAATTATTTAAATTCTTGTCATGTAATCATTTTCCATTGAAAATAGTGGTGTGTTGGTTGTTAATTGTTTTGGTTACATAACTTGTGCTGGCAAGGTGGACACACAACTCCCTTCACCTGGCCTGTCCGCCCACCCAACACACTTGCCTGGACAAAATTGTCTCATTGATATATATATATATATATTTGTGTGTGTGTGTGTAAGGTCGGAGCTATATATTATTTCTTTGGCCTTGGCATTTACTTTTTTTTAATATTTGGAGCCTACAGGCGCAGCCAGTGGAGGTAAATGTACTCAGTCATCCAATTCAGAGATTTGCAGTTTGGTTTGGAGGATCAGTGCTAGCATCAACTCCTGAATTTTTTACGGTATGCATTTCTGACAGTTCCAGGGGGGTGGTGGTAGGAGAACCATGCAAGCTGACTTTAAGTGAGTTCCATAATTAGTTGTCAATGCCTCATTGTCTGGCATTAATAACCAGGATTTGTATGCTCTGCCTGCCGTATGATTGTTGAATTTATGATTGAATACACGTTTGCCAAATTCAGAAATATAAAACTTGATCAGTGTAAAAATATGACAGCGAATTTTTTGTTTATGTTTTTGCGTAAGCGTTTTCTTGTGATAGTGTCACTGTTCTAGTGAGTATCCATAATTTCTTAATCCTTCCGGTAAATGTCAATGCAAAGTAAGCCCAAGTTTTGCAATGTCTGGTTCAATGTGCAGGCTTGTCATACAAAGGCAGAATATGACGAGCATGGAGCAAGCATTTGCCGTTCAAATCCTGTTTTCAAGGGAATGTATTAAAGCAGCGATAGTTGATGAAGGAGGCAGTTATTTGATAAGACAGTTGAATGAATGGCTGCTTATTTTGACCCTCAATTCATCTTCTGATCTTTCTTCCCATCTATATACAGGGTGGTTGAAGTGAATGTAGAATATGTATATCCAGCAGTCTACCTAGCCTCAGTTTCACTCGGTTAATTCAATTGCCAGGAGGTCCAGACGGTCCTTAATGGTTACATAGAAACTGATCTTTCACAAAGCTGGCTGAGCTGAATTTGCAACTTTTGGTGTTCAGCTTGGAGTTTTAACAAGTTCTGCATTTTTTTGTCATTCATTGTTGGTACTCATAATTCCATCAAGTTACTTTAATAGGTCAGAAGTTAAATTCATTTTTATTAAATTGTAATAAGCACCAATGCAGGTTAGATTTGTGTTTTGTAAGGTTAAACTGTAATTGAATATGATCTTCTTCCTTATGATCAAACATACATATATAATCCCATACTGTAAACATGTTATGAACTAAATGCGAAAGCGTACCTGAATTATCCATAATGATGATATTCTTTGTAGAGCACTTTTGATTTGATCTTATGGTCTTCCACCTGAAGAGCACCTGTATTTCCCTATTGATTTTCTCTCTTGATGGGGATAGAAAGAAAAGAACGGGACTGTAAATGTAATTTTTCTATGTGCTCTCAGAAGGGGACCATGACCCTTTAAATAACCAAAATTAGGTTAATTACTTAAGTTTTAGTATTTTCAATTTGGCCCCTCATCAAATTAGAAATTACTCTATGGTCTCTACACAATCATATTTTCATGACATATGCATTTAGCCAAAACTTTAATTTATTCAGATCACTTTATTATTTGGCTTAATAAATAATGACCCTAACACATTTAAATATGTATCATATATATACATGACCCAAAATTTGCCAACAATCTCCCACTGGTCACAAATATATATGTCTTTACAACCTTACAAATGTGTTAGACTTTATGAGCTCAAAATTGTCATTATATTCCTTTAGCATATTCCAAAAGTCTTGTCCATTAATCATACCAGGATATAGAACCAAACCAGCTTTTCATTGCATCATCGCAACTAAAACCAACAAGATTACTCATCCTGACATAACCAAATGACATGGATTCATCATGAAATGTGTAGCATGAAAAATTACGTGAAGGTGATCTGTACACGTCTATTTTCAACTGGTCCAAACTTTAACTTATCGAGATCGATATAGTAACCTTAATGTACAAAGTGTAATGAATGAACAAAAAACCGCATATCTATAGATAACCAAATATGTCCAAAAAATCAATGTATACATATATAAAATTAAACATAGAACATAAAATATATGAAAATGACTAACTCCCACTAAACCACAAATTTCTCAAACTGTAAAACACCCATGTGAGCAACATGCTCATGAAAGACCTTGGGCGGAAGTCCTTTAGTTAGAGGATCTGCTATCATGGAGTTTGTCCCCAAATGTTCTATGGAAATCTGTCCACTTTGTACTCTTTCCTTAACAACTAGAAACTTAATGTCGATGTGCTTTGACTTAGTCGAACTTCGTTGTTGTTGGAATACAATACAGCTGATTTGTTGTCACAATATAACTTAAGTGGTCTTTCAATGCCTTTCACAATTTGCGACCACGTGACAAAATTTCTCGACCATATTCCATGATTCGACGCCTCATAGCATGCTACAAATTCTGCCGCCATGGTGGATGAAGCTATAAGGGTTTGCTTGACACTGCGCCAAGAAACCGCACCACCTCGCTAACATGAAAATGTAACCTCGAAGTGGATTTCAAACTATCTTGACATCCTGCAAAGTCCGAGTCGAAAACCCGACGATCTCCAACTGGTCCGACCTCCCGTATGTGAGCATGTAATCTTTTGTTCTCTTTAGATATCTCATGACCCTTTTTGTCGCTTTCCAATGGTCCATTCCTGGATTGCTTAAATATCCGCCTAGAACCCCAACTATGTATGCTATGTCCGGACGCGTACATACTTGGGCATACATCAAACTCCCTACAACTCGATGCATAGGGAATCTTTTGCATTTCCTCAATTTCCAAATTTCTCTTTGGGCACCGATTGAGACTAAACTTGTCTCCCTTAGCAACCGGAGTATCCCCGGATTTACATTCATGCATGCCAAACCTTTTAAGAATTTTTTCGATATAGTTCCTTTGTGATAATCCTAAAATACCCCGACATCGATCTCGGTGTATCTGAATTCCAAATACAAAAGACGCATCACCAAGATCTTTCATTTCGAAATTCTTTGATAAAAATTTCTTGGTTTCGTGCAATATGCCTATATCATTAGTGGCAAGTAGAATGTCATCAACATACAAGATCGGAAAATATATTTACTCCCCTTAAACTTGTGATATACACAATCATCAACAATATTCATCTCGAAGCCAAATGAGAGAATTACTTGATGAAATTTATAGTACCATTGACGAGATGCTTGTTTTAGTCCATAAATGGATTTTGTCAGCTTGCAAACCATACTCTTTGAATCTCCCCGCACAAAATTTTCTCGGTTGCACCATATAAATCGTCTCATCAATGTTGCCATTAAGAAACGCCGTCTTGACATCCATTTGATGAAGCTCCAAATCATAATGTGCTACAAGAGCCATGATTGTCCTAAAAGAGTCTTTCGATGAAACTGTAGAGAAAGTCTCTTTAAAGTCAATCCCTTCCTTTTGGGTATAGCCCTTAGCTACCAGACGAGCCTTATACCTTTCCACATTACCTTTAGAATCCCGTTTGGTCTTAAATATCCACTTGCAACCAATGGGTCTCATACCTTCCGGTAATGGGACAAGTTCCCAAACCTTATTGTCTTGCATGGACTTATACTCCTCCTTCATCGCTTCGATCCACTTTTCGAGTTAGAACCTTGCATGGCTTGATGGAAGTTAACTGGGTCATCTTCCATCATACCATTGTTTTCTTCATGTTCCCGAAGAAATACCATGTAATCATCCGAAATAGCACTTCTTCTTTCTCTAGTGGATCTCCGCAAAGTTATTGGCTCATGATGCACAGGTTCTTGAGGATCTTGAGTTTGTTCTTCATGAACAACCAAATCATCTTGAGTAAGGGGTTCATTAACAATGCCTTGTGGAGGTTCCGAACTTACTTTATCAAACGTAACTGTTTGAATCGGTTCTGGAATTGTTACCGATTCTTCCTCTAAGACAAAGTTCCTGATTTTATTCTTCCCCCAAAACTCAATATCCTCAAAAAACGTAGTAGTTCGCGTCTCAAAAATTGTCTTTAATGTGGGATCATAAAATTTATATCCCCTGGATCTTTCAGCATAACCAATAAAATAACTACTTACTGTTCGGGAGTCCAATTTCTTTTCATTTGGCTTATAAGGCCTTGCCTCAACTGGACAACCCCACACATGGAAATGCTTCAAACTAGGCTGTCGCCCAGTCCAAAGCTCATAAGGTGTTTTGGTCGCTGCTTTAGTTGGTACTGCTCGTAATATAAGTCGCCGTCTTTAGTGCCTCTCCCCGCAGTGACTCCGGTAAGGTGGAATGACAAATCATACTCCCGACCATATCTTTAAGAGTTCGATTTCGTCTTTCAGCCTACACCATTCATGCTAGGTGATCCCGGCATGGTATACTGTGGGACAATTCCACACTCCTCTAGGTACTTGGCAAAAGGTCCTGGATGTTGTTCACCTGACCCGTCAAATCTGCCATAGTACTCACCACCACGATCAGATCTGACAGACTTAATTTTTTTATTGAGTTGATTTTCAACTTCAGCTTTAAATGTTTTGAACACGTCTAGAGATTGTGACTTTTCATGTATAAGGAATAAGTATGCATATCGTGAGTAATCGTCTATGAATGATATAAAGTATTGTTGACCATTCCATGAAGGTGTAGGAAACGACCCACAAATGTCCGTATGTATCAACTCTAAGACGTCTGTAGCTCTATATGCACATAATCTCTTCGCTTTGGTTTGTTTGCCCTTAATGCATTCAACACAAACATCAAAGTTTGTGAAGTCAATGGACTCTAAGATTCCATTTAACACAAGTCGTTCAACTCTATTTTTAGAGATGTGACCTAAGCGCCTGTGCCATAATGCTCCTGAGTGAGTATAATCAATTTTACGTTTAGTACCCCGTGATTCTGTATTAAGGGTTTCGTTATAGGTGGTCACAAGTATCAAGTAAATACAGATTATCATAAGGCAAAAGTGAACCGGCTCCAATAATATCCGAATTAAAAGACAAACCGAACTTATTGTTTCCAAATGAACACAAATAACCTAATTTGTCCAGATAAGAAACTGAAACCAAATTCCGTCTAAATGACGACACAACAAAAGTGTCTTTCAAATCCAAATAAAAACCAGTACTCAATAACAATTTAAAATGCCCTATGGCTTCCACCTCTACCGATTTGCCATCTCCAACATATATCCATCTTTCATAATCAATTGGCTTCCGGTAGCTTAGACAACCCTTTATAGAAACACCGATGTTAGTAGTTGCACCTGAGTCTAACCACCAAGTGTTACTAGGTATCGACGCTAAATTGACTTCGAACGTACCAAAGTAGGAAACATACTTTTGAGGATCGGAACATAATTTAAATTGGCAGTATACGTAAGCAATTGTAGCTGGATTAGAACAAAAGAAATAAACTAATTATGTTCACATTATAAAAAAAAAATAATTATAAATAAAATATATATTCAAATAATGGTTTAACCCATCTCAAGACACCCAATGCACCATCAATATCAAGTCTTTGGACAGTAATATTAACTGCTAGAGGTATCTTGTTGTAATAATCAAACATTGACAATAAAGCACGTCCAACAACAAACCAGTCTTTGGATTGATTTATCATCGACAAAGCTAATCTTTATAATTATCACACGTTTATCATTACAAGTGTATATGCAATTCGGCCAAATATTAATCTTCCTTTGGGCCGACTAATACTCGCATGAATATACACAAACACTAACATTTAATATTTTTCACGAACTACCCAATTCAAGAGATGTTACTTTGGTAACTTCTTGACTCAATTTGCTCACAAAAAATATTAAACTACCAAACAAATTGAATATATTAATAAGGGTAACACTAAACCAAATTAAGTCTCAAGGACCACTTAAAAAAAAAAAATGTATTATAATGCCACATATGATGGTTTTTTTTTTTTTCTCACGTGTCACCTTTGTAAACTAGAATTGTTTTAGGTAAAATTACAAAGATAATAAGGGATACATAACCATTGGCAGGATATTGCCATCCTTGAAGCCCAAACGACCGCCCAATCCACCTGATCCCTTGTACACATAGCCAATGAGAAGCAAGCCTCCAATTATGAGCCCAACCGAGAAAATCGGCGAAGATTTTGATTTCGATGAAAACAATCCACCTCCGCTGTCTCCAAATCGCCGAGACGGATTCCCAGGTCTCCGTGACATCATTCAATTGTTTGTTATCACCACAATAGTACTCAGAGCAAAATCAGTATTATTGAACTTTCTCTATGCAATTGGCATTAGAGATTAGATCTGAACTTCGTGCATTCTGTCTGTCCTTCACGCGTATGGATAAAGAAAAAAGAAGACAGAGAAGCAGAGACTGGGTTCGTGGGAATTTTATTTGTGCGCTGTGGGACTATGACAGATTGGAACGTGGAGGGAAACCCACTTTACTACTCTTTATCTCTTTCTCTGGATTTGGGAATTTACCCCAAATTCGAAACTAGGTTTAAAATTTGGAAATTTACCCCCAAATTTAAATTTAGGGTTTATGAAAATGGGAGATTATTCTTCACTTAAGATTCTGAATTAAATAGAATCTAAATTTTATTTAACATAATTTCCAAAAAACAAACATGAATTAAGTATGGGTTGCTCTGATACCAATTGTAAGGTTAAACTGTAATTGAATATGATATTCTTCCTTATGATCAAACATACATATATAATCCCATACTGTAAACATGTTATGAACTAAATGCGAAAGCGTACCTGAATTATCCATAATGATGATATTCTTTGTAGAGCACTTTTGATTTGATCTTATGGTCTTCCACCTGAAGAGCACCTGTATTTCCCTATTGATTTTCTCTCTTGATGGGGATAGAAAGAAAAGAACGGGACTGTAAATGTAATTTTTCTATGTGCTCTCAGAAGGGGACCATGACCCTTTAAATAACCAAAATTAGGTTAATTACTTAAGTTTTAGTATTTTCAATTTGGTCTCTCATCAAATTAGAAATTACTCTATGGTCTCTATACAATCATATTTTCATGACATATGCATTTAGCCAAAACTTTAATTTATTCAGATCACTTTATTATTTGACTTAATAAATAATGACCCTAACACATTTAAATATGTATCATATATATACATGACCCAAAATTTGCCAACATGTTTACCTTAATCGTATATTTTTGCATTTGTGGGTACATATTGTACAACTAGTATTTTGTTCAGTGGAGATCAAACCTAGAAATAATTCTTGTCACTTTAACTCTGTGATTTGTATGTAATTTTAAACTATTCTCCCGACATTTTTAATATAACAATGGCGATTTTCTTTCTGCTTCCACATTGACCTCCTGTTGGTACGGCATAGCCATTTCAATCTTCTATTCTATTGCCGTTGTAGTTGCGAATAAAAATTATTCCATTTTAAAATCAAATTATGCTTATTAAAGGAGACATTGATTTATTATGAATGTTCTTCAGAAGGTTATAAAAAATCTTGGGTATTTTTTCCGACAGTTACATTCCCCTGTTTATCATTTTTTTTTAAAGTTATTATTATTTTTTTGACAACGTGAAAAGTTATTTCTAATTTTATCATAAATTTTATTATTTTATTATAATTATTTAAATTTTAAAAGACGTTTTCAGGAATATGAAAACTTAATCAAACCATAACATTATTTTTTTGAGAATGTGATTGGTGCAACATTTTAAAACAGTAGTCAGTGTTGAATGAGGTTCTCATAAAGTATTTATGGAAAAAAAAAGAGTAAAATAAATCGAACTTATCACACACGGTTTTTCTTTTTTTCAAATCATCAAAACTTTCCATACGAATCTATAATTTTCATAGAAACCAATGTGGCAATGAAGACGTAGTTTGATATTCGAAAAATCTGTATAATTATTATTGCTGTAACATTATTAGGTAATTGCTTTCTGCACTTAATATATTCTACTTGCACTTTCACATTTTTTTTACAGATAAATATTACTCGTACCCATTTTATTTGATTAAGATAAAATACCATGTTTCCAACAGATTCACGGGAACCAAATTAACTCTATTAATCTGAATTTTTTCTATGTAGTTTGCAACTTTTCTAGATGTATTAATCTGAAAAATTTTCTGCATCTGTTAATTCAGAACCTATATCTTTTTTGATTGATTATTTCAAAATATATTTTCAGATTATTAATTGTATGAACTTTTCAAAAACGTTATTGATGAAATCTATTTTACCACAAAATCAAATAAAAGTCGAAGTCAATATTGTATAAAAGTATAGGATTACAGGTAAAAAGAGTGGAGAAGCAATTGCCACATAATATATGCATATTTGTGCTTCCCCTTGCCAATTAAATGTGTAATTTTAGAACATTAAATTAAGGAAGAACCCAAAAATACTATTTCCAAACATTAAAATAAATATATATTTGTTAAGTGAAATTATAAAACTTGTTTAACATCCATTTCTAAACCTAATTAAAAGTATTTTAAAAGGTATATTAAATATAGTAAAATTATTTTGTAAGCAAGATCCAAAATAATGCTTCATTGTTTATATTTCCATTTTTCCTATTTTCTACTTTATTTTTTCATCATTGGCGAAGTAATGTTATATAAACTTCACTAATATTAATCGTTCTTCTCATCCATCAGAAATATTTAGGAATAAAACTTAATATTCTGATTTTTTGTTTCTTAAAATGTCACTAAAATATAATTATTTATCAAAATCAGATGTTTCAAATACTTCATCATAATTTATCACGACTAATTTAAATTATTTATGGTCTTCTTTTTCACGATAAATCAGTTTAATATATATATTTTTTCAGAACACATGTTAATTATAAGAAGTTCTTTAAATATTTGATATACTTGCCACTAGAATTCAAGCTCGAAGTTTTTTTTGTTGAATTATAATAATTACCTACGTGTTCCAGGTCTTCGTGAAATACCATTTTAATATTAATAAATTAAATGAGCAATGATACATAAATAATTATTTAAAAAAAAACTCGTAGATACCCATTACATATTAATATAATAATAGTAGTATTTATAGATATATTAAAAAATAAAAATAAAAATGAATAATTGTTATTTTATTATTTGTATATAAGATCGTTAAATACATTCATATATTTGCATGTTGGATCTTTCTTCCCATGCAAATACACAACCTCTCCGGAATGACAATTTAGAAGTAGAAAGCGGCGGCGAGAGCGGCGGAGGCAACTCCAGCGATGGCGGAGAAGTGTCCGAGGGAGTAGGCGGCGGCGGAGGCGGAAGCGGAAGCGACGGTGGGGGTAGAATCACCACCCTTGGCGTCGGCAAAAGCACCGGGAGGCACGGGTCCACCAAGGGGTGCAGCGACGACACCGCCGGGTGCAGAAGCAGCTCCTTTGCTGATGGCTCCAATGGTGTAGTCATCGGTCTCATAGTCGTCGGCGGAGACATCAGCTGGCGGTGACGCCTTCTCCGCAGAGGCGAGGCCAATGATGGCGAACATTAGAAGGGCCAGAACCACAACACAGCATGCGCGTGCCATTTCTAAAGATATATAACAATTAGAAACTCTGCAAGGAAAGATAAGTTATTGTGGTTGCGGAAAAATGTAGAAGACAGTGTTCATTATATACGATACCAAACACTGCGTTGCGCTGTGAGGGAACGGTTGAGAATTTTCACTATTTAGAGTAACGAATATATGGTTGGTAGTTACAACTTATAACGGGAACTCAATGAACACCGTCTTAGGATTTGTTTGTTAAAATAATGGGACATCCTTTCTCCCCATTCATAAATTAGCAACCTTTTTTTCTGGGTTCTATAAATATATTTCAAATTTAATCCATTGGATTTTATGTATAAATAATAATAAATTTAAATTAACATTAGTAGTGTATATTTTGTTTTAATTGTTCCAGGGGAATTAACTACATATATAAAATATATAAGATTTTAAGAAATAATAAATTTGACAAACTGACATTACATGTATTTAATAAATTTAAATAAATTAAGAAGAATTAAAAAAAAATGTTTAAAAACTGTATCAGATGAGAAAAAAATAACATTGATAGCGTAAAAAAAAAAAAAAAACAGAAGACGGAGTTTGACAACTTCACATAGATAAGGTCAATAATATAACACAGTTAATAGAAACATATATTTCATTAATAAAACTAAAAAATATATTTTATATAATAACCATAACAAATATTTATATTTATTATAATTAAAATATTTTATTTGATTTTCATATAATATCTAAGTTTTTAATGGACATTATTAAAAAAGTTATTAATTTTATGTAATATAAACTATTAAGTTACCTCTCTACTTATTTTTATAATTTTAATAGCAATAAATTTCGATTTTATAAAAGATCATGACTAATTATAAAGGTATATAATTAAAATTGTCCGAGTTCGTAAAAAGTTTTCTTTCTATCAATTTTAAATCAATTGTTTTATATATATACCGATGACGTTAAATTCATACACATATTCATGATTTACGTGATATAAAAATGGTAATGATTAAAAATTTGATAAAAAAATTTAAAAATGTATGAAAATCAAATAATTTTATTTTTGATTATATTAAATACAAGTATTTAAATAATTGAGAAACAAATTTTTAATCTCTTTTATTATTTGATAATGTTTTGTACGTTTTGGTAAGTATATTCAATTTTTTGAACCTAATATTTTAGATATATTTTTATGTAATTTTATCCTTAAAAAAAAAAAACCTTAATCTTGTTTGTAAAGTTCAAAATAATAGTTACATTATCATATACACGACACACGACAGGTATAATGTAGATATAATGTTATGTGAACACCTTTTTCTTTTTCTTTTTTTACAAATTTTTTTCTCAACACTTAGGCAATTAATCATATGACGTTTAGATGAATAAAAATTATATATAAATATCTTTCTTGTGTCTAAAAAGCTGAATTCTTCTCTCTAATATTAGTCTCTCATTTCTAATCTAGACTACTCAATTACCTTTTTGTATACATAATTTCTTAGTATATCTTAAATTGTTTGTAACATAAACAATTTAAAATACCCCCATTGTTTTTAAATATGCCAACAAAATGTTCCTCCTCCTTCGTACTTGAAATTTAGTTAAATAACTTCGTGAGATACAAATTTCATGAGAATACAAATAAATTTCGTGAGATCTTACCTCACAACTTATCCCTTTCAATCACTTCAACACTCTGCCTAGTTTTCAGTAATAACACTTGTGTAAGGTCTTGATTTAAGATTAAAATAGGGAGTCAGTGATATGAAGTGGAAAACAAATTAGTAAATTTTTAACAAACTTTATCTAAGCAAATTTTCCTAGGATAACCAAATTCAAAAGTCAAGACAACCATTTTCAAGTATCATAATCTAGTTGCAGCCTGAGATAGAAGTGGCTGTGGGTGAGGCCCCTGTTATCTGTTGCCTAGCTTGAACATTATCGATGCATTCTTTAATTCTATTTACATAATAAACAGGGGATTAAAACACTAAATTCTGTGCAGGGTGAGCATATATTAGAGGAAGACATGGTGTAAAGAATTGGGGTGCAACGGCACACATAGTTAACCAAGATCAATATCAAGCAGCTCTGGCTTTCCTCTTTCAGCCTGGTTGGCACCAAGCTCTACGCCAAGTTGTCCTTTGTCCCCCGCCCCAAAGCCATACAGCTTCCCTGATTCAGTTAAGGCAAAGGTATGAGCGTTCCAATATATGGAATTGGTCAGACTAATCTGCACCACCCGGTCATTTATCTCATTCATTGAAGTCACAAGCTTTGGAGTTAACACATTTGCATGCATGTCTCCCTGCACAAGTGCACCGTAAGATTAAATTTTAATACAATGCACTAGAGTCAACAATACAAAATACTGACTTCACTCGCACGCATATTGGTAATACGATCAGGTCTTAACAAAAGGAAAACTCTAGAAGCTACATTCTGAAACTGAAAGTTCCAAACTTCCAATCATTGGAAAGCAGAAACCACAAGTCAGTTCATCATATCATGATTGCACAAAAATCAAAGGAAGGCTACTTCCTTCAACCAAGCCAGATGAATAGTAGAAAAATCCAACAAAGTAAAAGGTGTAGAATAAGAAAGCAGACCTGCTCATCATTCTCAGGGTTATGGCCAAGACTAGCAGATTCTCCACAACCAAATGAATACACATCACCATTATCAGCCACTACAAAGGTGGTGTAATCTCCTGTAGCAACATGAACTGCTTTGACATCTCTCAACTCCTCCACCACCTTAGGTACAGATTCGCATTCTTCATTACCATGACCCAAGCAGCCATAACGACCCCACCCCCATGTGCAAATACGGCCATCCTGCCCTACGACAGCTGAATGCCAAGCACCAGCTGCAACCACCTTCGGCTGAAGGTTTAACGTTTGGAATTGGTCAATCAAGCGAGGATACTTCTCATCAGTTTTTGAGCCATGGCCAAGCTTCCCACCCAAACCACACCCAACAGAGTAGACAGACCTATTAAGATTTCAGAGGAGGATCACATAATCAATAAACATATATACATAGTTATTGCAGTAAGAATGAAACAAAATGTAAAATCTAGTTTACGTAAGAATTAAAAATCAGCAATGCTTAAGCACTTTCATAAATCTCGAAGTTGGGGACTTATGAAAATACATGTGTTGCCAATAGAGGAATAAATCATATTACTGTAATACAAAAAACTCTCTTGTCAATCTAGCAATAAGCACAGAAAAAATTGAAGGAAGAGTTCTTGATTTGCATCAAATTATATAACTCTCAATTCTACTCTTGCGGAAAAAGAATTGCAAATCAAAGAGGAGAAAAATGTTGAAGCTCACATTCCACTTGGTTGACAAGCTAAACAAAGGAGGTAGCAGAATCCGGCAGCTATCTGCACTACTGGTATGTGTTCCAGAGCTCCTAATAAAGGACGGGGTTCCACATCATTTGGGTCGGTATGGTGACAGAGTTTGCCATCACTACCCCAAGAAAACGTATAAACCCTGCCTTCTCTTGACAATACGGCTGTGAAAAGGTTTCCAATTGCAGCTTGCACAACAAATATGTTTTTCAAAGATTCAACTAATTGTGGAGTTGTAACCATTTTAGATCCTTGCGTTCCAATCTCGGCTTCACCAAAAGAGTCTTTCCCAAAGGCATAGACCTGCCCAGAATCACTGATCAACATTGTCCTCCCAGTCGCAGCAGCAGCATGTATAATCCGGATGCCTTGTAAAGCTCTGCAGCATAATTGATTTATGTTAACTTCGACTCAACAAGAACCCTGTCCAATGCAATAACTAATGTTCCAACCTGATTGGTCGAGGTTGCCATTCCTCTTCAGTTGTACCATGCCCAAGTTGTCCTGAACTATTGGACCCAAATGAATAAACAACCCCTTTTGATGTCACAGCAATGCTATGACCAGGACCTGCTATCGCCTGTGATTTTTCTCTTGTGCAACATGCTTCTCCAGCCAGCAAAAATCTCAGAACCAATTTCCAAGAACCGCCACATCTTTGCTTCAACTGTTGCTGTTGTTCTGTCGTCATTGGCTTAAAAATGGCTCTCTTCTGGCACATGTCCAATGCAGCAAGCTCTGACAAGGACAAATTGAAATCTGGAGCAAAGTTTGCTGGCTTCTTGAAGAAGGAGCATGTTGTCTACAAAGTACCAGATCAGATATGAAACCCCAGCATATTAGAATTAGTAATTACAATTAAGAAATTAAGAGCTGAAATGCAGAGAAGCACAGCACTTGCCTCTAGTTTAGCAAGGTCTTGAGGATACAAGTTACATGATGTAAGTACATGAAGGACAATGGAGGGATTAGCAGACAAGGGAAACTCTCCTGGACTGGAGTCCCCAAAGCAATGGCGTTGCTGCCGTTGAAATGTAGGCAGTTGTGTGGCAACAATGGTAGTAATTGGCTGATCAGGGATGTTATGGTATTGGATAGTGGGGGTTCCACTGGTTGTGGCATCCATGGGCACTGTCAACCTTATACAGTGCCCAAACACAGCAGAAGAGAGTTTCTAACACTTCTGGGAATTATGAAATACATGCAAATGCATTACTAAATTAACTAATTTCAGTTTCTCAGTTTATAGCATCTGAAACTCTATACATTGTTCTAAGTTACAACAAGCATGTACCTCAAGAATGTATTTGACTAGCAAATCTCAGGTCTCAAACCTACAAAGAAAAACATACTAATAAAAGTGAAGCGAAGTTAAGTTTTCTCTAATGCAGTTGAAATATATGATTATGTGTCTCTATTTACAGCGGCACTCTAAATCAAAGACACCAGAAGCCAAGCATTTAGTCATGAAACCGAGGATGACCAGAAAGGAAAGGAAAAAAAAAAAAAAAACTTTTTCCAAATACTATACTTCAAAATCTGGAGCGATCGTTTAATTGAGTAAGGAAGAATCCATATGATGTAAATTGAGGATCCAACGAAGGAGAAGGAATCAAAAGAAGAAAACTTTGAGATTTACACTGTTCCCAGATTATGGGATATTCTACAATCATACTAACAAGAACAGAAAACCAAAAAAGGAAATAATTTCCTGATCAAAGTTGAAATAATAGTCAATCATCAAAGGTTGATCATCCCAATCAATATGAATCAAATTACAACAACCCTCTTCCAACCAAAAATCCCTTCATTTTGTTGACTTTCCCAGATCAGGGAATCACAAGTAACCCAATGAACAAGTACACTTGTTGGATACGCAACCATAAAAAGGGGAAAGCAAACAAAAATTAAAAAAAGAAAAAAAAAAAAAAAAAAAAAAAACAGAAAGTAAAACATGTTTGGTGTATGAAATTCATTATGATTGTTATAGATCGAAGCATAGGCACGTGGAAACGGTGATTACTTATGAGAGGGATCAACAGCAATTCCTCAAACTGAGTCTTCACCATCTGGAGAATTGTGCAGAGAGTTAAGTTATTTTAATGACAGAAGGAAGAAGTGGGTTCTGATCAAATGGGGAAGATGTGAAAATCAGACTGAGACAAGAGAGAGAGAGAATAGAGGTTTTGTATAGTTTTTGGGAGTGAGTGGATGAATCAATAATTTTCTTGTTTCTAAAATACGAAGATTTCTCTTTTATGCCTTTATTTATTGGATTATTCTGATGAAGAAATGAAGTAAATATGATGATGACGATGATATTTGGTAGGTTCCTACTGTTACGTGGCAGCAATTTTTTAAACTTTCACATCTAATTTACCAGAGATTATTTATAAATAATACTATAATTATCTATATCTACACACAAATATTACATTTATTTATATACATTAAAAAAATATTTTTGAAAAATTAAATGAGTTGGAACGTCCTCTTTATAAATTCGAAATCCAAATCCCCCGATTCAATCATAATAAGAATAAATGAGTAAAAATTAAATGACTTAGATTAAAGTGTTATTAAATATGATCTTGTAAGATATTTTAATAAAGGTGATATTTAGTTCGAATTTATATATATATATATATATATATATATATATATTTTATAAATAAGTTATTTTTATTTTATTTCGGAATAAAGAATAATTATATTTTAGTTTATATATTTTTTTAAATTATATTTTTTAATTAAAGTGAATGTGTTAAGAAATCTGGTATTTACTAGAAATATAAAATATTATAGTATATAAATAAATATAATTTTTCAATTCTTATGTTTAAGGTATTGTTTGCTTTGAATCTCTTATCTATTACGGTTTTATCCTTGAAATTGCGAAAGGAAAGTGTATATAAATTACTCTTGAACTCGACTCCTAAGTATGTGGGTTCATGAGTGTACCAAAATATAGCCCCTCAATTGAGGATTAAGAGGTATGAATGAAGTTATACTTTACTCTCGATCGCATGATTGACATTAATATTTCGTCTAGAAACGAGAGTGTCTCGGTCTCATGTCTCTTATGACAACATTATTAGGGTAAACTTCTATATCCGAGATATTGTTTATTTTGGAGCTCTTATCTGTCACAATTTTGTCCTTAAAATGTGTCTCGATGGGTTGAGAGAGGAGGGTGTATATAAATTACCCTTAATCTCGACTCCTAATCAATATAAGACTCATTAGTGTACTAAAACATAGTAATGCCCACCACGGAATCTAAACCCATGACCACAAGGTTAAGAGCATGAATTTTCACAAATCGACTCTTGAAGAGTTTATCAGATGATTGAAATGAAGAAAGGAGACCTTGGTCGGGTATTCCATTGACATAAACTAAAGACGACAATAAAAAAATAAAAGAACATATTTGATGAGGGCACCATACCAAAATGGGTTGAGAGAATGTCAAATGCTCGGATAAAGGCCTATTTATTGGAATGGAACTGAAGTGGAGCAATATTATGTATAACTAAAATTTCTTTCTCAAAGAAACTAAAAGGAAGACACAACCCAAATTTAATGAACATGGTATCATACATCAAGAATTCAAGATCTACTTCTTGGTCCCTTCAACGAGGTCACACACTTCTAAAATTAAATCCTTATCACTACCAAAATGACTCAAGGATTGATTATTTTAGAGCCGTTTCAAAAGTTCTACCAAATTATACCCATAAGTTTCATGGAGGATTTCAGTTTTGGCCTAAGAATACAACACAACATTGCTTATTTCCCTAATATCTCTACTAGCCATATTTTTCTTTCTAGAATCAACCACAAATAAGACATAGACACAAACAATAACGCAAAGGTGCAACAGGAGAAAACACAACACACCTGGGATGGAAAAGAGCAACCCAAGCGTGAGGATGAGAAAGAGTAAAGAAGAAAGGTGAAGTTGACCCAAGGATGAGAAAAGAGTAAAGAAGAGAGGTGAAGTTGAAAAGAGTGAGTATATATAGAATGATAGGATGCGAAAATAAAACACTAGGTGAGGGAAGCGAAGAGATGTCTAGAAAGGCATGTGAGGGAAGCGAAGGGACACCACGAGAGGTGAAAGGATGTGATGTTAAATTAGTAACAATGTTTGACACAAGACTAACGATTGAGCTACTCGAGAAAGACATAGAATTTGAACTAGATATCGAGTTTCAAAAACATCCAATGATCGAATGGTTGACAAAGTGACATGAGTAATTAACTTAGCTAAAGCCTTAGTATTGACAATTAAGGTTGGGATTGTGTAGTATCTAGGTCATTCACTTCTCCAACTAACTGATATAATAGTGGGGTAACTACAAAATATCTCTCTTTCGCGGATACTTTACCTGGAACTCATTCCCATTTTCCTAATAAGCTAGTATAGGATAATAACCAACTCGAGAAGACCACAACTTACGGAAGGAGGTGAATAAAAATAGACATAGACTAGGAGAAAGGTAAACTTAGAAACCACTGCTGATTGGAGAACTTGATCTCCAGTAGTAATAATATTATAATCAACCCTAGACATGTAGGACATTAATCATTAACTATTATAAACTAAATCATTCGTTATTATTCATAGAGAATAAAATTTTATTTGTTTGTTGTAGTTTAAATTTTGTACGTGGTTCACAATGTTATCTTTATTAGTAAGTGGGAGTTATTTTTCTTATTTTCTAGTTCATCAGTTGTAAAGCTAAATCTATATATTTAGTTTCTTTATTGTACTAAGACATAACAAAACCAAGTTTTCTGAGATAACAACTGGTATCAGAGAAGTTTCAACTTCCACTTAAAACAAGCTGCAAACTTCTATCATGGCCAGCCAGCATGGACAGTAATTTCGTGCAACCTGCAATTCCAAAGTTGAATAAGCATTACGATCATTGAGCATTGCTAATGGAGAACTTCCTAATGTCAAAAGAGTATTGAAATCTTATACTTCGAGGAATTCCACAACATGCATATGGGATTGTTTTATCAGATAATGAGGGTTCTAGATGAGTTGAAATTAAAGGATTTGAAGGTGAAAAACTATTTGTTTCACGCTATTGATAGAATCATGCTTGAAACCATTTAAAAAAGGCAACTTCAAAATAGATTTGGGATTCATTGAAACAAAAATATCAAGGCACTGCAAGGTTGAAACGAACTCAACTACTCTATGACCCGAATGGGAGATTTTGCAGATGAAGAATGATGAATCAATTAAATTACTTTGCTTGGACTCTCACAATTGCAAACAAGATGAGAATGCAAGGTGAGCAGGTATTTGACCTTACTGTTATTGAAAAAATTCTTCGTTCAATGACTTTGTGGTAGTATGTTCTATTGAGGAATCTCATGATTTAGATTTCATTACTATAGATGAACTCCAAAGTAGTCTATTGGTGCATAAGTTGAATGGGTACAATTCTCATGAAAAGCAATTATTAAAGGTTTCACAAAAGGAAAAAAGTGCTGACAATGGATAGGGAAGAAGTGTTTTTCAAGGAGCATATGCAACAGGAAGAAGGAGAAGAGTAGACAATTTATAAATAAGGCAACAATAGAGTGCTACTACTGCCATGAGTATGGACATTTCCAATATGAATGTGCAAAGAAACCTCGCGGTAGTAGAGCAATTATGCTGAAAGTGGTGAAGAAATCGTGTTACTCATGACATAACCTCCAACAGATGAAGAATCAATTACACAAGATATGTGGTTCATTGATTCTGCAACAATCACATGACAGGTAGAAAGGTTGATTCAGGCTGCAACAATCACATGACTGGTAGAAAGGACTGGTTTTCTTCTATGGATTTTGTTTTGTCTGATGAAGTGAAGTTGGGGAATATCTATGTAATAGGGAAGGACACAGTTAAATTGCTAATTAATAAAGTTATGCATGTGGTTACAGATGTATTTTATGTTCTTGAGTTAAAGAATAATTTATTTAGTGTGGGTCAATTTTTAGAGAAAATAAGTGTGAAGTGTTTCAAGAGAGAGTTTGATATTTAAAACATCTATTACTACTAACCACATGTTTACTATCTTTGTAAAATCTGGAGTTTCTTACCATTGCTTTGAATTAAGTTCAAAGCCAACAATAACTCAAGTCTGGCACTCTCGTTATGGTCACTTGAGTTATAGTGGATTGGAAACCTTGTTAAAGCATGATATAGTGAAAGGACTACCTATCTTAAAGTCCCCAACTCAACTGTGTAAACATTGTCTCAAAGGGAAGCATTAAAGAGATCATTTTCCATGTCAAAGCGATTGACGTGCATTACAAGTGTTACAATTAGTCCATTATGATATATATGGCCCCATCAATCCTACATCTAATGGAAATAAAAGGTACATACTCACTTTCACTGGTAATTTTAGTAAAAAAGTATGAGTATATTTCCTTGGTGAGAAAAGTGGAACATTTGAGACCTTTAAAATTTTTAAAGTATTAGTAGAAAAATAAGTTGGTACCTCTATTCAAATTTTAGGTACTAATAGAGTGGGAGAATACACCTCCAGGGAGTTTGTTGATTTTTGCAAAGAACAGGGTATTCAAAGACAGCTCGCTGCCTCATACACACCATAACAAAATGAATGGTGTAGCTGAGAGGAAGAATCATACCATTATAAGTATGGTTCGAAGTGTTTTAATAGAAAGAAAAGTTTCATATCAATTGGGTGGTTCATATCTTAAATAGAAGTCCAACTCTTGCAATAAAAAAAAAAATCACACCCGAAGAAGTATGGAGCGGATTTAAGCCATTTGTTTCTTACTTCAGAATTTTTTGTTGCATTGGATTTGTTTATATACCTGACCAAAAAAGGAGAAAACTGAATGAAAAATTATTAATGTGTATTGTTGAGTATAAGTGAGGAAAGTAAAACCTACAAATTATATGATCCTATTAATAAGAAGATTCATATCAGTAGGGATGTCAAATTTTGAGAGGATGCTGCTTGGGATTGGAGTGAAGCAGAAACTAGTAGAATGATTGATGCTAGACCTGTGGAAGAATTTCGTCAAGCAA